GCTCAACTTAGACATGCGCTTGTTTGTGGCAATTTGAGTAACTCTGTTTCCAAGTTAAAAAATTATGGTAAAAGCAGTAGGTTCTTACAATTCACCGTCCCTCTCCATCTCAGGGGAGCACTGAAAACTAACTAACAACATCAGTTTCATACAGAGCAGAAAGTCACTTTCCAAGGATTTGCAGATTCACCTTTACTAGTTTACTTTTTATTTTTTCCAACTTTCCTTTAAAAGATCTCCATTGATAATCCTGACACCTGCTGGCAAGGGCACAGTTGATCCTTGTTGGGTTTTCCCTTCAACAACTTCCTCAAATCAAAAACTTTTTTTTTTTTTAAAGATTTTATTTATTTATTTGACAGAGAGAGATCACAAGTAGATGGAGAGGCAGGCAGAGAGAGAGAGAGAGGGAAGCAGGCACCCTGCCGAGCAGAGAGCCCGATATGGGACTCGATCCCAGGACCCTGAGATCATGACCTGAGCCGAAGGCAGCGGCTTAATCCACTGAGCCACCCAGGTGCCCCAAATCAAAAACTTTTTAAAGGTTTCTCCAGTGACAACTAAGTAGTAATTTATTCACTTTAAGTATGTATAGTACTTAATTTCTAACATTATCAGATAACCATGAGAAAAATTCCAATACTCATTCTACTTCACATGGGCAATAATTTGACTCTTTGTATATAAACACATGTTTGTTTTAATTAACCAAAAGATATTACAATCATACCATGCGCTATGATTAAACAAACAAAAAACATGCCAGGGGTCTTCCCTACAACACAGACAAGAAATGAATAATAGGAGCGGCTGGGTGGCTCAGTGGGTTAAGCCTCTGCCTTCAGCTCAGGTCATGATCTCAGGGTCCTGGGATCCAGCCTCCAACCCACCCCCAGCCCCCAACCATTGGGCTCTCTGCTCAGCAAGGAGCCGGCTCCCCAGTCCCCCCCCCCACCCGCCTGCTTGTGATCTCTCTTTCTCTGTTCAAATAAATAAATAAATAAAATCTTTAAAAAAGAGAGAATTGAATAATAGGAATGGCTCAGTTTTCGTTTTCTACTATTTTTTTTTCATAATAATATCAGTTTATAAACTACTTAGGAAATAAATTCAACTGTGTAAAAAGTAAATTGATTAGCTATGAGAAGTCATACCATTAATTATGTATTTACAAAATTTGCTGTTTGTTTTTCAGTACCCACTCATAATGATTTACTCTGTCTTGAACTGAGTTCTAAAGTCTCCACTGTTTTATGGGGTTTTTGTTTGTTTTGGCAAGAATATGATGAACCTACTACATCATATATCGTACTCAGAGCTATTGCACCTGCAAGTGTACTCAGTATATTACAAATACCAGAATTACTTTCTTACGCTTTATGAAACTCTCAGATCAGGCAGGTTTTTTTTTTAAATTGTGCACAAATGATAAGATATACAGTCCATCCCATTATGGAAAACCCTTCAAAAAACCTAAAAGTTTTGAAAACAAATTACCTATTTGAAATTTTTATCTTAGTATCAGTAAAATTAAGAGTATGGACTACTAATTTAGACTCTAGGAACTGTCAAACTTATATTTTGCAATGGTTTTGAGTAACTAAGCTATTTTATATTAGTATTGTATATTTTATCCTTTCACTTTACATTGCTATAATTTTATGAGAAGGAAAAATCACACATATCTGGCAATAAAAGCAAACTTTATTAAAATACTTACAAAAAATACCTTAGATCCTGAGTACATGTATGAACACTGATCTTAAGATATTTGCAAAAAATACGAGAGTTTTAATTTAGAGTACTGAAGTGAAATACATTTCCCTACTTTTGAAGATCTTTGTAACTTCAAGACCATAGAAGGAAGAATGTAGCATTTCAATCTTTTAACCATAATTTTTATTATTATAAATGTTTTCCCAAAACCATATCCAGATTTAAAACAAAATAAATTTCAGTTCTAAAGAAATAGTTCAAGAATAAGCAAAACCTTTTCAGGAACAGAGAGGGGAAAGTGTGCTGTATCACCACAGTGTTTGGGATGGCCAAGATTTTGCATTAGTGTCAAACTGTCAAAGCACGATACTTTATCTTCACTTTATCATTTTTAGTTCACCTAAAATTATTTTTAGGTGCTTCATTTGGCATCTGAATTAGCACTTATTTTTAAAGTACAGAATTCACGATCATGTAAATTAAGTAACGAAGACACTAATGTGTAATAAATTTTTAAAAACACAAAAACCTGTTATTCACTGTAGATATTGCTATACTAATTATAGAAGCATCCTGTTATTATCTTGAGTGAGACTGTTCAGGTACTAATTTATTCTCACGTAGAATAACTAAGAAACACCATTGATTAAAAAAAGGAAATTCAAATGCCAATGAGTCATAGTATTTAGGACATGTCTAGACATTTTTAGACAGTGCCATTTGCTTAAAGACTTCAGGCACCAACTGCAGGCACAGGGACAGATTGCATAAGATGTCACGTGCTTGCTGCAACTGTATGCATGTTATTGGATTTTTCAGAGCAACCCACAGCGATGAATAATTTAAGAGTTAATAAAATATTCAATCTGACTGATCCATTGGTTTAATTTTAAGATAAAAACGGCTAATAAAAGAAATTACCATATCCAATCATTAATACACATAAACTGCAACCCACACAGGGAAACACCAATTTCTAAAAGGCTACATCAGATAAACGATGTCTGGGGCAGGGGAATGCCAAGGGAAATTCTCAGTGTTAACACTGGCTTCAGTAAGTTTACTCAAAGTTTAATTGTTTGGAGCTGTCACACAAGCTGCACTCTGCCTTCTGCAGGGCTGAAGGAGAATAAATTAGAAAGGTGCAAGTTTAACAGAAAGGGCTCATGGAAAATGATCCGTTTCTTTCTTAAATCCCTCTTTCCCTCTAATCACAGGCTGGCTGGCTAAGGAAAAAAAAAAAAAAAGGAGCAATCCTTTTGAATATGGAGAATATGAAGAATATGGAGTATGCCGCTGCCCGATTATTGTTTGGGAGAGGGAATGGAGAGCCCCGGCAACACCGTGGTTTGTCTGGCGGAGTAAGCTGTGCCCTAGGCGTGGGTATCTTTAGGAGGCAGAGCTACCGGCTGCAGTGAGCCAAGACTCACCGCGCCCCAGGGTTCCCGCAACCGGACCCAGCGAGGAGAGCGCGGCCACACACGCTAGACACATTATCTCCTCCTCCACCCCCGCCGCACTCCACCTCAGCTTGGGGACAGATGGTGGCTACGGTGGCACGGTGTAGGTGCGTGTGAGTGGGTGAATGTGTGTTTTCGTGTTCGGGGTGGGAACGGAGGCGGGGAAGGGAGGAGGAGAAGGTAGTGCCTGCAGTTCTTCCCTTCCCCTTCCTGCTAAGGCACGATGTGCTGAAGGAATCCAGACGGGAAACAGGAGAAAGGAAAAATAACAGTGGTGGGAGCCCTGTCTTTTCCATATCGCTAGGGAACTCAGCCGAGCAACTACAAAGCCATTACCATTCCTTAACCTTCAGTGGAGTGACTGCCTCTGCCTGATAACTAGAAGGGCACTTTGTAAACGCTGGCAAGGCACACACCTACACACACGCCTACACGCTGGGGAAAATAGCCACAGTCTGGGGGAGAGAGGGAGGCCGAGGCAGAGCACCGCCATGGATCGCTACTGGCAGGGCAGTGAGGGCATCCAGGAACACCAAGCTTCTTGAGCAAACAGTTGCCCAAGAGCTCACGGTTTTCCTATGAAACAAATAAATGGATGGATGCAGGCATGGATGGTGTAGAATACACATGCGGTGTGAATTTCAAATGGATTCGAGTCAACGCTTTTAATTCAACTATCCTTTTTTAGAGGCACATTTAAAACCCTGTAGTGCACTCAGTTCTCCACTTGAAGCAGCCTGCTAAGGGTTCTATTACCCTCGGACCCCTTAGAAGCGGCTGTCCTTATCCGTGAGCGCAGAAGGGGCGCAAGTCCCTCTTGCGCGGTCTCCCCTGGGCCCCCTGTCGCTCCTTTTGCCGTTTATCAGCGCCAACTTCAGCCCCGACCCGCTCAGTGACGTGGCCGGGACAAGGGCTCGTATTGACAAGCCACCCTCCGCAAAGGACCTGAAATTCGTCTATACAACTCCGCAGGAGACTCACTGAAGCCCTGCAATTTTTTTGTAGGCTGGCTTATTTCACACAAGTCACGGAAAACACAACCAGACCAGCTCTTACAACTTTTCTGCTCTTGGGCGGGGGAGCGAGGATGTCTCCCACTGCAAGATTCTCTACTACCAAGAGTTAGGGTTGTACCCGGAGGGAGTGCTGAGCCAAGCTCCGAGCCCCTTGGGGGTTAGAGGAGAGGCGGGTTCCTAGGGTTTTTCTGTAATCGACGCAGCGAGTCCTGCCTGGGAAGGCAGCAGAACGCCGAACTGACTTGTCAGACCCGTCTCCACCTCGCCCACCTCCAGAACTCCCAGGGCCAGTTTTGGATTTGTAAACCGCTCAGCCCCGGCCCACATCCGAGAGCCGTACCCGGGGGACAGACGACCATGCGGCTCTCCAGCCTCTTCCCCTTTCAAGCAGATGACGCCCGCAAGCTTAATTCCCAGCTCGGGCCCCCGCGGAAGCCCCGCCCGTTGCCCGTAGCTAGCATCACCGGCATTGCCCAGGGAGGGTTCGAGCAGTGACCGGCTGGCCGAGTGAGCCGAAGAACCTCTGGTTCCCCAGAGCGCCGTTCCCTCCCCCCACCGCCCTCGGTCCCCGTCTTTCCTCGCTCTCACCCCGGTACCCCTCACCCTCTTCCCCGCTCAGCCCCACGCACTCCGCTCTGACTTTGCGAGCACTTTTCCGAGGCATGCGGGGCGCGCCGCCTCCTCCGTACCGCCCGCGGCGCTCACCGCCCCAGGCGCGCCCCGGGGACCGCCTCCAGCCCCCTGCGCGGCATTTCCCAGGGGACTCCAGCCTGTCCCGCACCTAGCGGCCCGGGCCCCGTCGCCTCACCTTTGCAGAACTGGGGGACACCGAGGCTGAGCCCGATCAAGAGCCAAGCGGCCGCCGAGCGCTTCATGGTTCTGTCTCCCGAACGTGACCCCGGCTGGTCAGGGGTCGTTCCAGAGGGCAGCGTCGCTGAGGTGGCACCGCAGGGCAGCGGCAGACCCCGCCCCTGCCCGAGAATTCAAAAAGATGTCTTCTTTCCGCAGCACTACCTTAAACAAATTCTTGGAGGACGCGAGGAAGAGTGGTGACCAAAGAGAGGAATCTTTCTTCCCCTTTTGCCAGCGCTCCGGCGCAAGAAGGTGGGCGAGCTCTGAGGAGCCGCCGCCGGGCTCAGCCTCCGCTGCGGGTGGGTCCCGGCTGAGGCGCGGCGGGCGGGGCGGGGCGGGGCGCGGGCTTCCGCGGCGGCTTCGGGTCACCCGCGCCTGTGGACCCGCAGACCGTGCGCTCGGCTTGCTCCGCTCTCGCCGTCGCAGCTGCGGGGCTTCTGACTTGGGAGAACAATGAAGCGTGAGCTAGCGGGGAGCGAGCCGGCGGCCGGGTGCGCACTGTGTACAAACAGAGGCGGCGTGCGTGCGAGCCTGAGCTTCGCAGGCGCGCTCCCCCGGTGCCCACCCGCTCCCCCCTCCTCGCCCTCCCTCTTATTCCTCCCCCAGTCTTCCCCTCTTTCCTCCCACTTCCCTCACTCTTCCTCTCTCTCTCTCTCTCTCTCTCTCTCTCTCTCTCTTTCTCTCTCTCGTGGCTCCTTCTGCCGGAAGAGAAAAGGGAGACAACTGCAGCCACACCCTGGCACCTGCCACCACCTCTAAAGTTCCTACATTGCCTGTACCTTCTCCGCACACGCCAGAGACTCTAGGGTTAAGGGAAGCACCTTGGCGTCTGAGTTTCTCTTGGTTCCAGCAGTGCCTTTACAATTAACCGCGTTAAGGATGCCCCTGAAGTCCCACCTTAAGGATGCCCCCGAAGTTCTCAGTATAGCCAACAAAATAAGTTAAAAGCGATTTTGAAAAGTGACTCTTGGGACACGAAGCTGCGCAAGAAAAGGAACCCTGCAAAGTGAATTGCTCCGATTCTCAGGAAATGCAAACTCGTCAACAGCCAGACTCTAATCAGCTAAGAGGAGGCTGCTCTGCAGTTCTGTCTGCACTTTAGTTATTAGCTCTAGGGCTGGAAGAGAGGGTCCTGAGTTTATCTGTTCATAGGGGCCAAAAGGTGAAGGCCTGGGGCAAGCGAGTACAAGACACGTGTCTTGTTAAGCAGCACACGTTTCAGATGAGAAGTAATGGGGAGAATCTGGGCACTGTGCAAGAAAAGAGAAGGCAATTACAGATTCTTGAAGTATCACTAAGGTGGGTCAAATTTTTCTGCTATCCACCAAAACCCAGTATAAATGGTTTCTCTTGCAGTGGAAGAGACTGCAGAATACACACCATAGCTTGAAATAATGCTTTCTCCTCTGTTTTTACGTTAGAATGATTGCTTAGGTACATGGATTTGATTCCATCAGTTGCAGGTACCAAAATGAAACACGGCTCTTTCTTCTTCTTCTAGAGAAGGTAGTAGAGAGAGAGAGAACCACAGAAATTTAAAAAAAAAAAAAAATTGTAGGACACATTCTTGAAAGCAAGCATTTGAAAGGAGAAGGGTACTCAGAAAGAGACAGGACAATTAGTCATGCAACTTCATCTCCTTTACCTCCTTGAGTCCTTTAAACTTCAACACCTTCCTTTTGGAATTTGAAGTGAGATCAAGGACGCAAGGTGGATTTAAAGTAATATTGCGTGTTGCCATGGAGGAGTTAAGATACTGTACCACTGGCACACAAAAACAAAACAATAGCAGCAACAAAAATTATGTCAAAGCAAGTTTTGTTCCGATCTCATGTTCCGCAGGAGGGTTAAAAAAAAAAAATTTTTTTTTTTTAAACACATGGCTTTGCTAAGTCAAAGAGGGAGAATCATTTATTTACTCTTCATGCTTAAAGTCATAGATGTTAGAATAGAACGCCACTGTCCAGAGCTATAGCAAGGAACTTTTAAACAATCAAATTCTTTCTCCCATGTCATTATTACTTAATTCTGAAAGTAAACCTTCAGTCATGCTGTGGCATGTCCATCATAAAGTACCTCTAACATTTTGAAATGAGATATTTAAAATTAATTTTAAGGTTTTATTTCTAAAGGATAGTACTAAATCTCAAAAATATTAAATCAGAAACCAGTGTCTTTGTGATGAGAGATTAAAGAAAAAAGATGTGCCCCAAGAGTTTTATTTTCCTATTTTATTCTGTTCTCACTTTTCTGATACTATATGACCTTAATAAGCATGTTAGGAAGTTAATTTTTTGGCAACAGTGCATGTTACTAAAATTTTATCTTTAATTTAAACTCTTTAAAAAAACTACATTAAAATGCATATTCTATGACTAAATACCTGGAGACATGCCTTTAAATGCCATTCTGTATTTTCAGGTAGATGACTTGTAAAATATGTCATCAGCTTAATGCTTTTATTTCCATAAATCCTGTTTCCAGTCTAAATTTGATACATAGTCTTAGATCCATATGCATAGATCCTATGCAGGTACCCTTACTTTTTCCCCCACTTATCAATAATGATGTGTACCAATAAGACTTTCATTTTGAATATTCCAGGCACTTTGCCTAATTTATACTTACAGGACTTATTTAACTCTTAATAAATTCATATATTGCCTCTTCAGAAGTAGAATGTAAGAAATGTTAAAAGACAACAGGAACTGGATTTTTTTTTTAAAAAAGGATAAAATTCTATTATGACTTCTTTAACCTCTCATAAAGCACCAAGGGACTTTTACTAATCATGCATGATCTAGTCTACAGTTTATAGTTTCTCTAAATATGTGCCTGAAGTGTCAAAAATGAATCTATACATTACTTAAAACAGCACCTCCCAAAATATTTTCTGTGAACTTACCTTCCCCAAAATGTTAATAAGTTTGGGGGGAAAAAGAAGTTCCATGATCAAATAATTTTGGGAAATATTGCATATCAAAGTAGCATCTTGAAGATTTGGTAAATGTTAACATATTAAAAACTTTGAAATGTCCTATGGTTAAGAAACTCTTCCAAAAGTCTTTAATCCAGTATTTTGCAAACTTTTCTTTTTTCACTATGACAAGCTTTTTCTCAAACTACCTGATAAGATATTATAGATTTAGGGGCGCCTGGGTGGCTCAGTGGTTAAAGCCTCTGCCTTCGGCTCAGGTCATGATCCCAGGGTCCTGGGATCGAGCCTCACATCGGGCTCTCTGCTCGGCAGGGAGCCTGCCTCTTCCTCCTCTCTCTCTCTGCTTGCCTCTCTGCCTACTTGTGCTCTGTCAAATAAATAAAAATCTTAAAAAAAAAAGATATTATAGATTTAGTGCTATAAGGATAACAACTTGGTAAAGATTGTCTGAAAATAAAGCAGAATAAAGAATCAGCAAAACAAACAAAAACAAGACTGAGGAAAGTTTACTGGTTTTCAAGAATTCTCATTGGTTCAGAGCTTGGATTCTGGAATGGTACATATCTGAATTGAAATACTATCTTTTTTTTTTTTTTTTTAAGATTTTACTTATTTATTTGACAGAGAGAGAGAGAGAGATCACAAGTAGGCAGAGAGGCTGGTAGAGGGGGAGGGGGAAGCAGGCTCCCTGCTGACCGGAGAACACCATGCAGGGCTCAATCCCAGGACCCTGAGACCATGACCTGAGCCGAAGGTGGAGGCTTAACCCACTGAGCCACCCAGGTGCTCCTGAAATACTATCTTTACCACTATGACTCTTTTAATATAGGTAAGTCAGTTAACAGCTAGGTCTCGGTATTCTCATCTGTAAAATGGAGTAAAACTCATAGGGGTAGTTCACTGTAATGTACAAAAGTGCCTAGTCCAGTAATGAGTACATAGTGATAATGAAGATGATAATAATGATGAATAAATAAGAACAACCACATATGGAACCCTAAAAGACTTCTCCTCAATAGCTGATTATCTCCATTCCTCACTCATCACCCTCAATAAATTATCTGGAAAATTTTAAATTTACCTTTTAATTTGTCAAGCAACAAATAATACTAAATATACTATTTATTTCTGTTATTATTTCTGTAATTGAATATTTAGAATTAAACTAGATACTGGAAGAGTCTTAGCTTGTTTGATCAAGTTACACTCAGTACCATTAAATCTTTAAAATAATTTTTTCATTTAAAACCTATTTTACATTTACAAAGACTTTGTTTTGTTTTTAATATCCTAAATGCTCTGCATTAAAAGTTGTATTTCAGCTTTGTGAGATAGAAAGCAGAAAACTAAGCCAAGACTATTGGATATATGACCTGCAGAATTTGAGGTAAGAGATTATTACTGTTCTAAACTGCTAAATTTGTGGTAACTTGTTCCAAGCAGCAAGAGAAAACTAATACTATAAATTAATACATTAAATTATTCCCTGCCTAGAGAGAAGGAATAAGGCACAGATTGGCTAGATAAATCACTCAGGGTCTCAAGTTAGCATGTGTAGGAGCCAGTAAATGAACCTAAGCATTCTGAATCCAGAGCCCACTCACTCTACTGGCAACAATTAGGGAGCATCAACTACATGCTAAACACTACTACATTTTTTACTTATATTGCTTTACTAAATCATCCCAACAACCTTTCTGAAATGAACATTATTATTATTTCAATTTAACAGTTGAGGAAACCAAGGATCAGTGGTCCGTTTTATTTATTTATATTTTCAATTTTCTAATTGTAACTGTCATTTTTTTTTTTTTTTTAGTAGTTTGGATTCTCTCTACCCCCCCCCCCTTTTTTTAAAGATTTTATTTGTTTCTTTGACAGAGGGAGACACAGCAAGAGAGGGAGTGGGAGAGGGAGAAGCAGGCTTCCTGCTGAGCAGGGAACCAGATTTGGGGCTCTATGCCAGGACGGGGATCATGACCTGAGCCAAAGCTGATGCTTAATGACTGAGCCACCCAGGGCCCCAATCTCCCTGCCCTTCTTGATTTGTCATTTTAGAGGATATTTTGCTCAAATGTAGAGTTCCAAGGACATTTTTAAATTGTCTAAAATAGGGGCAACTGGGTGACTCAGTAGGTTAGGTGCCCGACTCTTGATTTCAGGTCATGATCCCAGGGTTATGGTCTTAGCATCCTGAGATTGAGCTCAGAGTCAGGGGCTCCACACTTAGTGGGCAGTCTTTTTGGGATTCTCTCTCTCCTTGTCCTTCTGCCCTGCCCACCCCCGCTCCTCTCTGATGCACACACTTGTGTGCGCGCTCTCCTTCTCTAGAATGAATAAATCTTC